CTCAGGTATTGAGGCCAGGAATGATCCCATATGGACTTGTGCGCGAAACGCATAAGTTCAAATTCGGTTCTTTCATGTATTGGCAGCCATCCCAATGACAACACATCTCCTATGCGACAGTATTTGTTGGTTACAAAGCTTGCGGCTGCGTTTTGGACGCGCTGTAGTTTCTTTAGTTGGGCCTTGCGATTCTCTCGCGAGACCAGTTCAGGGAGCGAGCATCCCGTTTGCCCGTTTTAATAAGAAAAAAACTTAAAGTAAAGTCTAGCAGGAAGTTTTACCTGAATAATTAACAATTATTGGATGAAGTTTTTGTGATATGCAGAATTATCAAGGTCGAGGTAAGCGTTATCAGCCGAGCCGAAGGCGGGGCTGATAACGCTTACCGAGACCTTGATAATTTTGCATATCGCAAAAACCGAATTCAATAATTGTTTTATTATACATTTGTTTGTGTTACAGTCAAAATACAAGAACCTTCCCGCTTCTGTAACTTGTTTTGTATTTATTTGTTCTATTTTCTGTAGCGATTACCGCTTTATCGGCACATATCGCGTTAGGATCGCGTTAGGATCGCGGTAGAATTTCGCGGTAGAATTTCGGTAGAATTTCGGCACATCGCGGTAGAATTTCGCTTTCCTTCCTTTATATACGTTAATTTGTAGCAATGGATACACCTTTCGTTAGATTCGTTGCATAAAAGTTGCGAAACTTAGATCTTATAGCGATATTCGTTGATAAATCGGTTTTAAACCGCCGCCTATAGTGTGTTCATACTATACAAATTATGCAAAGAATCTAACGAAAGGTGTATCCTTTGCTACAAATTGACGTATATAAAGGAAAGAAAGGGGAATTCTACCGCGATATTTGCTGACAAAAATCGCTACAAAAAATAGAACAAATTACAGAAATACAAAACAAGTTACAGAAGCGTAAGTGGGAAGGTTCTTAACTGTAAATAGATACCTCTTGCTGATCATCGCAGGCTCATTTGCATATAACTGAGTTATCTGCTAGCAGATAACTGAATTTTCTGTATGTTGCATGATTGCGCAATTTAACTGTAAGCTCTTAGCCAATCAAATTGCTTTTACCAACTACAATGTATAATAAATGCATTTATTATTAGCATGACAAAATTACTGGATGCTGATTGGTTGAGAGGAGTACAATTATTTCATTAATTGTATTGCAGTACAATTAATGATTTTCTCAAAACAAACAAAATTTTTTTAAAGAAGATTAAATAATAATAATAATAATAATAATAAAATGGCGGAAAGGTATTTTAAACACAATTGCGAAATGAAATTGCCGTGGAGGAACTAGATGAAAATACGAACAAAAGCACCAAATTTTGCTTGAACAAAAGAACTAAATGAAAATACAAACAAAAGCACCAAATTTTGGTTGAATGTCTGGCAGGACTGGGCTTTGGCGAGAGAATACGATGTTGACATTGAGAAGTACGTATCCAATATTGTCATGCTAATAATAAACAAGTAATCGTGCGATGTTGCTCGTACAATTAGGGATTAATAGTACTCGTGATATTTGGAAATTTGCCAAATTGGACCACAGGGGGCCCCACTATGAGTTATGATTGAAATAATATTGTATTTAATTTTAAAAACCTACTTGAATCCCTTGATAATCGATTATTTCTTCTCTCGAAATTCTGTAAACATTTTAAACTGCTTGAATCATTATACTATCACTCTACATGAAGTATAGATGATCGCTGACAAGTAAGAACGTGGGCGCGAAAAGACGAAGGCGGCGAAGGAAGGGACAATTAAACTAGAGGGTTGAAACTTCATGACATTTCTAAATGCCTTAAAATTCACAATTTATTTGTGTTTTCGAATATTTTTTTGCAAATTCTATGTCTTTTTGGATATATCTTCACAACTGATATAGTAGATTCAATAAACGATTGATTTTTCGTATGTTTTTACATGAAAACACTCGAAGGGTTTTTTCGCACAATGTGTTCCATAAGTAGGTTGTTCTCGTGACGTCAAGTATAATGAGTCCGAGCCATTTAAAAGGTTTACAGAACTTCGAGAGAAGAAATAATGGATGATCAAGGGATTCAAGTACGTTTTTAAAAATAAATACAATATTTTTTCAATCCTAACTCACATTGGGGCCCCGTGCGAAATTTCCGGAGAACAACCTACTTATGGAACACATCAAACGATGGCCCGCCGAAGTTTCAACCCTTTAGTTTAATTATCCTTTTGTCGGGAACTGTCGTAATCTAGAATTAGTATTTATGTTCACGCGTGGGACGCGCGAGTCCAAACTTTAAACACTTCGGAAAGTTCCAGATTATACCGGTGGTGGTTGTTTTTTCCAGAAGAGAACTTAAAAACATGTGGCTGTGAAACTGTGAAACTTGTGATTTTGTAATAGATATTATACTTTAACTTCTCTAGGCCACTGACAATAATCTGAATTTTTCTTTATTATAGTTGAAGAGTGTTGTTGAAGGACATTATCGAGTGGAAATTTATATACATTTAGTAGACCTAACGAGGAACAGCTGCGAAAATGCAACTTCAAGTCCCTGACAGGAATCGAACCTGCGGCCCTGCGATTCCGATGCAGCGCGAAACCCAACTGAGCAACTGCCAACAGAGGCCAGTAATTCTCGAGTTATAACCGCAAGTTCATGTATATATACACTAGGGTACTGCCAATTTATTATACGAAAGAGTTCTTATTTTACAAATTGTGGCCGTTATTCCAAACTCAAGATTATTTAGCTTAATTCGTTGTAGGCCAAAAGTGCGGGTTCCAGAATTCAGCCTGTTAATCTCAAATGTGTCGTATGATGATAGCCCAGTAGACAAGCTTTCACTTAAACTTTTACAGGCAACGTTTGCCTGGTATGAAAGACTGTGCAGTGTGCTGAAATTTATCCACATTTTCAGCGTTGTAAAACAAAAAATTGCAGACTGAATTGAATTTTTCAACGTCGATCAAAATTGAAATCTTTGAAAACCTCACGAGTACATGTTACTCCAATTAAATTGCACGAGACACCATGCTATTAATACTTATATTATCCATGAAAATAATTATGCAGAATCGAAGCAAATTCAAAGTCACTTAATATATGCGTGAAACACAATGGCACAATAATTTAATACAAGTTTGTTATATAGGCACTTACTGGAAAGTGAAATGCATTTCGAGATATTACACTCTAAGCCAATCTGAATTGTGCAATTTTTTTCAGATCTTTACCTGAAAGTTCAAATTTGGTACAAAATTGTTAATACCTAACTCATACGAATATTAAATTTTATTATTATGTGAAAACTACATTCACCGCTTCCGCAACATGAGCCTGAGAATCCTGACGATCTTTCCTTGCTTGGCGAAGAGTAACCAGCTCCAACATCCGTGAATGGATGTTAATGAATAGTGGAAAGAATCAGGTAGTTGTAATTCATTACATAAGAATATAATCATGTGTGAACATGGATTAAAAATGCATTATACTATAAATTATGTTTGCAAAATGTTGAGCAAATCTGGTATAATCAAAAAAGGTGCCCAACACAAGCTTTTATAACATCTTGTTGGGTTTCCTTACCAAACTTCCTAACCTACTATATATCTCGTATTTAATTGTAACCTACTATATATCTCGTATTTAATTGTAACCTACTATATATCTCGTATTTAATTGTAACCTACTATATATCTCGTATTTAATTGTAACCTACTATATATCTCGTATTTAATTGTATCTCGTATTGACGATCTTTCCCTGCTTGGCGAAAAGTAACCTGCTCCAACATCCGTGAATGGATGTTAATGAATAATGGAAAGAATCAGGTAGGCGTAATTCGATTACATAAGAATATAATCATGTGTGAACATGTAATTAAAAAATGCATTATACTATAAATTATGTTTGCAAAACGTTGAGCAAATCTGGTATAATCAAAAAAGGTGCCCAACACTTTGTAAGGTTTTATAATTTCTTGTTGGGTTTCCTTACCAAACTTCCTATCCTACTGTATCTCGTATTTAATATTTTTCCTCTCGTAATTGTATTTTTGTATCATGTGTTTATATTGTAGTTTTTGTTTGGTTAAAATTTAATAAATTGAAATTGAATTGAAAAAATTGAATTAAAATTGAATTGAATTGAGAAACTGGATTATCAATATAAACAATCCCAACAAAACGCCTAATTATATTTACATTCATTGACGATCTTTCCCTGCTTGGGGAAGACAGGGCGCTATAAAACAGTGTTTTATAGCGCCCTGGGGGAAGAGTAACCAGGCCCGTTCCAACATCCGTGAATGGATGTTAATGAACAATGGAAAGAATCAGGCAGGCGTAATTCGATTACATAAGAATATAATCCTGTGTGAACATGTAATTAAAAATGCATTATACTATAAATTATGTTTGCAAAATGTTGAGCAAATCTGGTATAATAAAAAAAGGTGCCCAACACTTTGCAAGCTTTTATAACTTCTTGTTGGGTTTCCTTGCCAAACTTCCTAACCTACTGTATCTCGTATTTAACTTTTTTGTATATCATGTATTTATATTGTATTTTTTGTATCATGTATTTAAATTTTATTTTTTGTATCATGTATTTATATTGTATTTTTTGTTTGGTTAAATTTTAATACATTGAAATTGAATTGAAAAAATGGAATTGAACGCCTAATTATATTTACATTCAAATTCCAATTTAGTTTTGACGACCTTTCCCTGCTCGGCGATGAGTAACCTGCTCCAACATCCGTGAATGAATATAAAATGAATAATGGAAAGAATCCGGTAGGCGTAATTCGATTACATAAGGATATAATCATGTGTGAACATGTAATTAAAAATACATTATACTATAAATTATGTTTGCAAAATGTTGAGCAAATCTGGTACAGTCCCAAGAAAACGCCTACAATTATATTTACATTCAAATTCCAATTTAGTTTTGCTGTGCAGTATATAAGTATGTATACCTGCAGTCTCAATACAAATTTAGCACATAGTGCTTCAAGATCTGTAGAACCTGTAAACTATTTAGCAGAAGATAATGGTCCCAACTATTCTTTTGCCGTTAATTTTGGCTGTAGCGTACGGATCTCATGGTATGTTGCTATATTTTCTCCTGCTATAAGCTATACCGTGTTAATACTTAATCTACTTAATCTAGACAATGACACAGTACAGATTACAGTATTTCTGTCTTCTAACCTATATACAATCGCGTCCACACAAAGGCTGATACACCGCAATTAAATGAAAACACAAAAGGGATGTAAAATATTACAAAAAGTGAAGATGGAATAATTTCTTCCGCTTCCACAGTTGTTCGCTATCAGCTGTTCGTTTTTAGAACATCGCCAAAATTATTTTTGGGAAAGGCGTTATACTGAATTGATTTAAAGTGCAAATTTTGACACGTTTCTGAAAGAAGACCTACAGTACTTTTTACTGAAAGGTGTTTCAATTAATTTTGCACCGAATTGTAGATATTCATGCGCGTACCGTGTTATTTAGGCCATGATTATAGAAAATAGAGAAGCCGCTTATCCATTCCGCTTTTCCTTCATGAATTATATTCTATGTACTACAATCACTTTCAGAAGTTGTTGGGACACGTGTAGTTTTAGCTTGTAAGTGGGTCATTATAGTTATTTTACACACAATACCGCTCCCCTCCCCCTCCCCCCACCCCAATCAATGTTGTTTTAACCAAAACACATCAAACCCGACGAGAAATGGGTCACAACATTGAACAGGGGGCGGGGGGGATTGT